ACGATTTTTAACTACATTCCTTAAGTTTATCATGGTGGTGTTTCAGGTCACTGAATAGACTTGGCATCTTTTCCCGAAGTGTCTGGGTGCATGTGTACACTTTTTTATGTACTGAACATTCGGTTAGGAAAACAAACAAACCAAAAAAAAAAAAAAAAAAAACCAAACAAACAAACAAAAACAAAACCAAACTTGGTTTAGGTCACTCTGGTTCACACAGCAAATTTACAGGAATTATGACCACCTATTTACTGTAGGCTTTGGTGACAACAAGTCTGTTCCCCATATTAAAGGAATGTCTTTAAAATAATTTTAAGAAGTTAGAAAATGCCAGAAACTGCCTGCTTATTCATCTTGGTGTTTATGTATGACCAAGGGTGGATGGATGAACAGGTTGATCAGTAGGTAGAATGTTTCTGGGAGTCAGTCCTTGTTTGCATAGTCACTCGGTATTTTCTCTATGGAATGCTCAGTAGATAGGTCACCAAGGACTACGAGCTTGTGTATGATACAGGTTAGACCTGCTCTAAAAACTGCAGTTGTACCTCATGTCTTCAAACACAGCATGCGTCCAACTTAAAATGTCTTAATTCACACAGTGCTAGGCAGACTGCTACTGTTCAGGAACTGTTTCCAGACAGTAATCTAAATAAGATCAAATAGGATTTCACAGCAACTTTGATATTAAAGGATTTGCAGTGGAAAAGCTCTAAAAAACTTCACAGTATTTTAGTAAAGCAGGCTGAGAAAGAATGTTAAAGGGAAAGTAAGTTTTTAATTTCTAGTCTGAAACTGCAAAGCCGGGTGGAAGAACTGACTTGTAGTAGTCTCATTCCTTGGGTAAAAGCACAGGATACAGCAGTTTTGTTGGCTCTCAGCTGTGACCCTGTATCCAAGGCAACTGTTTCTGAATGTTAGGTGGTGAGGAGCTTTAGAATAAATGAGAGGTAGTTGTGAAATATACGGGTATGATTCTCAGGGGAAGTAATAATGAAATGCCAACAGGTGGAAAAGGGTTGAAGGAAGCACCAGAACCCAAACATGGAATTCAGAATAGGATGTTTTGTTCCTTGATACATCATACATATTGGTCAATAAAGACCAACTAAGACTGGAAAGCTATGAAGTAAAGCTAGTGTGGAACAGACATGAAACAAAATTGGTTACTCTTTGTTTCTCTGTGTTCTGTAACCCCCATCTCTTAGGGACCACTCCTGTAAGAGCTTAGTCTTTGTGTTGCAAGAACTTCTTCTCTGGAAGCAGAATTCTGGTTATAGTTGTTCTTGTTATTGTTTATTTCTGAGGAATCATTTGTTTAAAAAGTTGTATTCAGCCATTTTAATTTCTTTTATTCCTCTAAATATAACTACATTATATTTATGTGGAGGTGTAGATGTGATGCTGCTCTAATGATCTGGGCTGTTTCACTCTAGTATTTAAAATTACTGTTTCGGTGTGCTGATTTGCTGTGTGAGCAAAGTCCCATAGCAGGACACCTACATAAGAAGAACTGGAGTGGCTGAGAGAGACAGGGACACCATTATGCCATGGTAAAGGCTGGAAGACTTTTTTTTTGTAGTTCTTGAGGTGACTAAAACTTTATTCCATCTCTGGATAAATACATCTTTACTGGAAAATTGTCAACCCTTTTAATCTCAAACTATGGTAAGACAAAGAATTGGCCTGAGAGAAGAGCTCATAGGTACTAAAACTGCTATTCCTTTTTGTTTTCTGGCATCTACTATCTCTTTTACCCATAAGAAAATGGGTAAAAGAGAGCAAGAACAACAGGAAGCATGTCACAAGTTTGCCCAGCTGTACTACCTCTTGAATCCATCACCAACTTAAGTAATTTAAAACTCCAGAAGAGCAGAATTGTAACCACAAAACCTGTTAAACAGGTCAGGATGAGGGTCTCATTTATTGCCAGCACTTACTCATGAGAGGCTGCTGAGGAGAGTTTTTATCAACTCATCTCTACTAAGTCTGTTTGGGCAGGAGAAGTATCAAACACATGACATTAATGCTGCCATAGAGCTTGTATTTAAACTGGAGGGTCAGAGTGAGGCAGAATTAGCATGAGGGAGGTTGAAATACTTCATCTGAGCCTCACAAAGTCAACCCCAAGGTGCCTGTGTAATATGTCTTAGGGCCATGAAAAATGTAAAGCACTGTTGCGCTTTTTTCCTTGTGCTGTCTCAGAGGCACAGGCATTTCTGGATTAATTTGTTTCATCCAGGCATTATTGATGTACCTTAGCCTTGAGCAGGGGCTGAGCTCAGAGATGATGTACAGAACAGACCAAGACTAACCCCTCGTGGTCCAGGTGATGCCAAAGGGACAAACATGGCTGGCAAAAGAAGACCCTGTGTGGAGAGTATGTGAGTGCACTTTCCTCAGCCAACTGTTGACCTGAAGTTACTGAGGGCCATGTTTTAGTGGGGGCTTGGCAGTGCTGGGCTAACAGCTGGACTCAATGATCTTAAAGGTCTTTTCCAACCTAAATAATTCGATGATTCCATGTTTTCCTGGTCTCACCTTTTCCCTATTTTATGTGTTTCTTAGCACTCCCGTTGCTGTGATGGGTCCTTTCACCTTGCATATCTACATGCTAAATTTTGGTGACATTATGCTTCAGAAAATCTTGATGAAACAACATAAAAAGTGTAAAACTTCAACGCCTCCCATGAATGATCACCAAAAATACCAAAAAGCTTCAGCGCATTTACAAGTTGATCCAAACTGTCACTACCTCTTTTTTTTTTTCCTAATTAATAAATATGTCTAGCAATATGTGAGACAATAAACCCATTTATTTTGATGGTGATGTTCACATGCTTGCTGTGAAGCACATGTTTAAATGCTTTGCTGACAAGGCACAGGCGAACAGATGCCTTTTCCATAACAAGCTGGCTGTGTATCTCTAGCTGGCAACCACAACAGGCTCCCTGGATTCTTCTGAGGGCCAAGCACTAGTGGATATTCATCATTAAATGAGAAGGCCCCTGCTAGCAGCCAGCCCGATCCAGAGAACAGGTCTGCCCCCACAGAGCAGGAGGAACTAGGAAGAGCTTCCCAATGACCCATGTTAAGCCTGGGACCCCAAGGCAGGCTTCTTGAGGTCTGCTCAAAGGTGGTCTTTTTTGAGTCTATGAAATGGAGATACAGTGGGACCAGAAAACAAAATATAATCACCTCTTTAGTAATATATTCTGGTAATATTGTGCAACTTTTTCACTGACTTTAACAGAAAATACTCTTTATACTGTGAAGGTGCTCATCACAGAGTCATAGAATGGTTTAGGTTGGAAGGGACTTGAAAGATGGTCTATTCACAACACCCCTGCTGTGGGCAGAGACATCTTCCACTAGACCAAGTAACTCAAATTATGCAGTATAGTCTGAATTGCTGGCACACAGCAGTTTCCAAGTATGCCAAATCTCTTGTGAAAGTAGGGCCACCTTTTTCACCATCTACCTCCATGTTATTGAAAAGGTATGTCCGAGTTTACTTGTAATGATCATTTACATTTTTTTATCAACCAGCGCGAAATTCTCTACCGGTGAAGTAGGAAGGGAACGCAGATAAACTACCCAGAAAGATACAGCCATTGCAAAAATAGAACAGTAGATTTCAAGTAGCATCCCAATTCATTATATGTAGGAAATATTTTCCTGTTGCTGTTTGAAGGTGCATCATGGATTTAATGATTTCATTATGCTCTATAATTACTTCATTGCCCTCTATGCTAGAAGTAGCTCCTTTTTCTTTACCAACTTTTATTTGTGTGGTCTGATGTTGGTATTTACCTCCTTGAATATTTTACTTGCTCAGTATTTTTGTGGAACAGTAATTTCAGCATGTAGATTTTTCATAAACCATTAGTTCAGATTACATGTGGTTATTTATTCATGGGACATGAGCAGTCACCTCGATCCTGTCAGTGTGCTTTTTGACTGAACCACCAAGTGTTCTTACAAAGAACAGTAGTAGAACAAGGGTAATACCTGCAGAATTGAGTTTCAGAAGCATCTTCCTGAGCTATTATGTGAAATATACGTAAATCATTTCCATAATACAACTGCTATCAGCAAATAACATGGAGTAAACCTATTGTGTTTATTTGCATGCAAATTTGAGATAATTTCTGCTGATATTTAACCATCTGTAGCTACAAGGTATTACTGCTTATTTATAAAATTATGCGTATGAGTAATTTCATAATAATAAGTAATATTACAGTAAGTAATTCTTATAAAGCAGAGGTGAATTAATATTATTGCTGCATCTTCCCCAAGTGTGTATACTCTGATTTTTCTGTTTAACTGTGCAGCAGTGTTTTTACCTGCTGTAATTATCAGTCTGTGAGTTCCTAATGCTCCCAGTCTGCCAGGCAGCTCTGCAGTGTGATGGCTTTTCCTTCCCTCTGTGATGATACCAGGTGGGCTAGTTGCGGTTGGGATTTGGATAAGACTTTAAAAGGCTGTTATGATTAAAACAATATTCGATATATGGGAGATGAGTTATACAGCCTGAAAACTTCCGTCTTCTCAGTGGGAACGATATAATTGGACCTCTGTAACAGAAGTGTTACACTGGGTTACAACTTCTGAACAGAGAACTTAAACTTTCCATCAGGTGGTGCTGGGCTGGCACTTGTGAGAGCAATGTAGTGGTTTCTTCACCTCATCCCACCTTGAAGAGGTTTGGGTTCAGTGATCCTTCCACCTGTGTTTACAGAGTGGTGTTGCTCTGTTAATACACTGCTGTTCATATGGGCAAGGATTTTTTTTCTTGCTTTCAAGTTTTAGTCATCTCGCTGAGCTTTCTAGTGCCTTCTTCACTCTTTACAGAACTCAGTTTTATGTTGGCCTAAGCTGATTTAGAGATAGCACTCCTTTAGTCCAGTGAGATGACACCTTTGTTAAATTATATATATCCTGAGCTTACACGTGGAAACCTATGTCGTTAACATTACCCCTTTATCTCCACACCACAGGTTTTGGAATGACCACACCAGCAACTGCGGCTGGAAAGGTATTCCTCATCGTTTATGGCCTTTTTGGGTGTGCCGGGACTATCCTGTTCTTCAACCTCTTCTTGGAGCGCATTATCTCCCTCCTGGCATTTATCATGAAGGCATGCCATGAGAGACAGCTGCGAAGAAGTGGTCTCCTACCTCCCAACTTCCGAAGGGGGCCAGCTATGTCTGGGGTGGGCAGCCTCGTGGGCTGGAAGCCATCCGTTTACCATGTGCTGCTGATTCTGGGAATATTTGCTATTGCCCTTTCCTGCTGTGCCTCCGCGATGTACACGGCGGTGGAAGGATGGAACTACATCGATTCCTTGTACTATTGCTTTGTCACCTTCAGCACCATCGGCTTCGGAGATTTGGTAAGCAGCCAAAACGCTGCCTACCAAAATCAGGGATTATACAGATTTGGAAACTTTGTATTTATATTTATGGGGGTATGTTGCATATACTCTCTTTTTAATGTCATTTCAATTGTAATCAAGCAAGTTTTGAACTGGGTGTTGAAAAAATTCGAATGCAGATGTTGCCCAAAGTGCCATAAATCAAGTACCCGCCTCAGCCGTCGCAACGCCATCACCCCAGGAGCCCGCCTGCGTCGACACAACATCTCAGTGGACACTGATGGACAGTACGACAGTGACACCGAGGGGAGGAGGCTCTCTGGAGAGATGATCTCCATGAGGGAGCTCACGGCATCGAATAAAGTCTCCCTGGCCATTTTGCAAAAGCAGTTGTCCGAGACGGCCAACGGCTACCCGAGGAATGTTTGTATCAATACGAGACAAAACGGTTTCTCTGCAGGGGTGGGTGCTCTAGCCATCATGAACAACCGCTTGGCAGAAACAAGTGATTCTAGGTAGAGTTTTTGAAATTCCTTTTGTTTCTCTAATAAAAATAAAATGGTGTTTAGGCTGGAATTATCATTGTAAGCTACTGGAAAGTTTTAAATTCAGACACAGCCTTGGTATTCATTGGGCGTTCAGCATTTTAGTCTCTGGGGGTTTTGTAAGTTTTCTCTAATATGCATTGAGATATTTATCATCATGTTACAGTTTTCCCCTGAGGGGCTTTTGGAAGAGACTTGGATGTCTTTGATGCAGAATCTGATGCAGTTACAGAAGGATAGTGTGCATGGTTAGGATGGTGTCAAAACCAGTGTGTTCTTCTTCAGAACAGAGCCTAAACCCAAACTCTGTGTTAAAATGCATTAGGGGGGCAAGTTTGGCTCCGTATTCAAGCTTGGGCTTGGTAAGGTTTGACTAAACCAGTGTGTCATGATTTGTTGAAGTCTGGATCTGGCCCTGAGCTTTGTGCTTGATGCTCTTCATCGTAGCAGGCCTGTATGTAACACACATGTAGGTGACTGCGGCTACACCACCTTTAGGATGTTTGTGCTTCCCTTTAATAACCCTGACTGACTTCAATAGTAGAGGATTGAATGGGCTGGATTTCCCTCATACAAATGATGGTTTTTAGCCAGTCTTGTCTGAAAGACTACCTGCCACCTAACTCTTAAAAGTCAGGGGCTTATCAAGGACCGTATCAAAGTGTGCAAAACTATTCCTGCCTACTGAATAACTGAAAACAGGCAATTGTCATCTCCAGTCCTGACTTCATTTAATGCAAGAGAAGCCAGTATGCACCTCTGGTGTCAAATGTTTGCATCACCACTGAAATGCGTATTTCACTACTTTCACATTAAAATAAGTCACTAAAATGAACGCAGGCTCTCTGTTGTCCTAAATTTGCATCTTTTGCTTCTGCAATATTGTTGCAGAGATTCATGTAAATTATTTCCTTGCAGTTTTTTGAGGGCCCCAGCCCTGTACTTGTTTCCCACAAATCTGATCGTGTATACAGAAGAGCATTGCTTTGGAGTTCCCCCTGAAAGCTGGCTTTCCCCAAAATGTTGATATGAAGTCACAAATTGACCTTTGGCTGTTGTTACCATCTTAAGCCGTATTTAACCTGTACTAGCCCAAAACACTGAGGAACCAGAAGCAAACCTGCTGGTCTAGAGTGTCTAGTTTAGTGTAACAAATGGGTGCAGAGGAAGTACCGCAAATCTCTTTCGAAATATCTGCACAGCTCTGTGTCATTTCTCTAAATGCTCTCTACTACGCTGTGAAGTTAATAAAAAGGCTTCTACTGATTCCAGGCAAGAAACAAAACTTAAGCTTATAGTCTGAGCCACAGTGATCTGCTCTTGGAAACTTCTTGGGAAGTTGTAGGCAAGACCACGAGTAACTAGGTTGGTCACTGAATAAATTAAAGAAGCTGATGAAAATAAACTGGGAATGTTAGAAATTATTCAAAGTATTTCCATGAAGTTTCATATAGGTATTTTACTCTGTTTTTTTTACTTTGCTTTGCCTGGGTTTGGGGTAGCCATCATTTTTTACTTCCTTTAAATTTGTAGTAGTGCAAAACGTTTTGGAACTTTTAATTTGAGATTTTGCACACTTGAGCCTGACAGCTGAAGTATGGCGATGATTGTGTCTTTTTCCTGACGAGAAGGAATCAGAGCAGCAAATAAACCATCACACGTGGATCTGTATCACACTATAAATGTAGTCACAGCTTTTGTCAAGACGCATTTGGCCAGAAACTCACAGTGATGATTGTGTTCTGTTTCTGCCTGACACAGACTCACATTTAGGATTATGTGGTACAATAGAGTCAAGAGGCAGGAGCTTTCTTGATGGTAGAGAGACTTCCCAAGGTCCACGTGCCTTCCTGTGTGTGCACTCGTGCTCTTTGAAGAGGCAGGAAGAGTTCAAAGTGTTTGGTGATCCTAATTTGAACCCCAGTGAAGGATAAATTCAAGCAAGGTGTGTAGGGGCAGGTCATGGTCTGGAGAAGACTCAAAGACTGGCTGCAGAAGTGGAAAGACCCATTTCAGGGAGGTGCCTTTCAGAGATGTAGGGGACATCTTTGGAAACAGCAGAGGGGGGGAACCAAAAGAATGAAAATTTGTTATTTTCCCTTGGGATTACCTCCACGGGTAAATAACCTTAACTATGATGATTTATGTGTTTGTTAATTAAAAGTGTGAATGGGACCCTGCTCTGTTTTTGCAGCTAGATTCTCAGGGTTATATCTTGGTACGTTTGCCATCATGGGGGCTATTACTCATTAGAACGGGCCCCACTCTGTGAAGTGTTATATGAATCAAGGCAGATGGGCTCTATCCCAAAGGACTGAGGAGTTTGAATAGATAGGACCCCAAGCCACAGCAGAATTTGTTATTTTGCTCATAAAAACATGTGCAAATGCATTAACATTCTGCGAGCTCAAGAACTCTGTGGGAAAAAAATTTGCAAATTAAGGTGGGGGGGTTTTCAGTAAGTTGTTTTTAAAGGATAAAAATAACTATGATTAGGGTCCTGTTTAAATGTTTGTAAATTGCTGTCAAAGTACCTATTCCTGCCTGGGAAATACAGTGATGTAATATGAAACTGTACATACCTCCTCTGTACTTTTTCTGCATCTAGGCAAAGGCAGTCCATTGTAATGTGATTTAAATGTTTCCAAGTCTGTCTGGTACCATCGTTTACAGTGGTGCCTTTGCAGGACCCTTTGCAGTTCCTGCTGACCCCGGGGGAAGTTGGACCAGGTCCTAGAGCTGGGCTTCTCAAGGGATTTGAGCATCTGATTGCTGCTCTGTGCACTTAGGTCTAATGTTTATTTATTCCCAGGATCCTTGGTACACTCCATTCTGCTTCTCCTTAGCCTCAGAGGCATATAAAGTGCATGCCCAGTTGTTTACCAGTGCCCCTATTTCTTGCAGAGCACATACCCTGGAAGCTGCTACAACTCAACCACAGGGACACCCGCCAACCCCCCCCCCCCCCCCCCCCCCCCCCCCCCCCCCCCCAGTTTGTATCTAAGCCCAGTAAAAATCTCCAACCCCATCTGGCTCAGCAAAGCCAGTTTATGAGAGAGTCAGAGCACAGTTACTGAGCTGGGTCTCACTGGGGAACGTCTGACAAAGGGTATCCTTACAGTTCCCTCATATTTAGTAGCCAAAGTACTTTTCAAGGATGCATGAAAACCAAAGTCCAAGTCTCTACTCTTCAGCCTGCTAACACTGCCTGGGCACCCATCACCTGTGTGCATGAGTACCTGAGATAAGAGGACATAGGATATTCGAGATCATAGTCCCTTGTGCTCTTCCTGTAGCTTTTTCTTAATGACAGTTCCTCTTTAAACTTGCCAGACATGGGCACCTAACTCCTCTTTGATTGTGCATGGTCTTGGCTCTGAATTCCCTGGGGCAGTCTGCTCCTTTTGTGAATTAACCCCTTAACATGCACCAACTGCACCAAGTGCAATTCCTCCCGATATTTCATTTTCACAGACAAAGCAGATACCAGCAATACCTGGACACAGACTGAAGCACAAGAAATCAGAAGGAAACTGAAGGAACAGAGTGGGACAATGAAAGCACACTGCACTATATTGCACTTTCTTTTCAGGTAATTGGGAGTTGTATTACATTCTTGAAATTTATTTTTTTCCCAGGTTTTATTTTTGGATAGCCTTGAAAGAATGCAATTAACTTTTAGGATTTAAAAGTTCATCTTCTGTGATAGAACCCCCTTGCCCTGCCCTGCAGAGCAGCAGCAGTGACTCCTAGCTGGCATAGACCAAGACATCCCAGTTGCCTGCTGAGAAGTTGTACAGGCAGTGCAGACCTGAGCTCAGACCCCATGCCTCAGATTAATCTTTTCCTGAGCCCAGGGAAGAGCATTCAGGAGCAGCAGAAAGCTACAGGACTTGGGACTTCTCTGTGAGCCAGCCCCTAGTGAGAACAATGACGGCACATGAGTTGGTCAGACAAAGGAGATACTGAGTTCACCTGGCACATGTGCTAATACCTTGCAGATGAAAATTAAAATATAGGTGAACATTAATGAGGGAGAATGACCAATCAGCATCTTCTCTTTTCCCTTGAGCTCAGGGCAGAACAATTACAAGGAATAGTTTCTTGTGAAAGCTGTAGCATTTGGCGTCACTACTTTTGCTTCGTGGGGTTTGTCTTCCCTGTTTGTGTCTTGGACAAAGTTTGGAGTCACACTGAGATGTCATCTGATTCTCTTTGGTTTCTTCCCATCTGCAAAGCACAGTTCTCATTTTGTGCAAAAAAATTTAGATCATTTTTTATTTGCTTGCACTAAGGAAGGACGTCCTTCAGACCGTACAGATGTTCAGAGAAGTAATCTCAGTGACCTCAGACGCAGATGGAAGTTTCTGAAGGACAAGGCTGCAGTTTGCCTGTCTCGCTGCAGAAGAAGCATTGCACAATAAGTCCCATTACTGCTAGCAAGGCATGCAAATGTTCTTTAGGCAGTGGTTGGAGCCATGGAGCAGGAGGCACAACTGACAATGCAAAATGGGTATTTGTGCCTCTTTGATATGTACATGCTAATTGAGAACCCAATTGCCAGCTGTGATTGCAACCAGAATTACTGGTGGAAGACAGGAGAGGTGTAAGAATCACATCAAGGCTCTCTGTGACCGTGGTGTCCCAGCACTGCTTCAGCCCTGGCCCTGAGTCTTTTCTCTTCCCCAGCTTTCTGTGGGTAAAAATTTGGGTATATTATGACCATTTACCCATATTTCAGTCATGTCTTAGCTTGTTACTGAAAGAAAGACTTACAGCAGCAGTGGAGGTCGTATGTGGGCACTATATAAACCTGATTGCCTATGTGGGATGAATTTATAATTATATGAAAATTAGCTGTAGCAATGAGACCATTCTCACTTTTTAATATTTTTCCAGCCTTGAACTTGAAAAATATTCAGTGACAAATCATTGCAACGAATGTTCGGAGCTAATCTAAACAAAATCATACTTTGCTGATTGCTAGCAAATCTATAGGTATGGCTTCTGCTCTAATTGGATTACTAATGTGCCTTTCCAAACCAACACACATTTGCAATTCTATATTTAAATAATACAATAAATGCTATGTTACATAACAACTTCAATTAGGGCAAATTAATACTTGACTCACACAAAACAACTAATGAAGTGTGTGTTGTTCATTGTACAACCAATGTGCAATTTCTTTTTTGTGTGAATATGTGCATATCTGAGCTCAAAATCTGCTTTCATGAATGCTAGGAAAACAGAAACTACATTGTAGAAAATAAAGTATGGAGAATTCCACTGAGATTCCACAAAGGGTATGCATATTAGTACATACACAGTAAGTGGTACATTATGCATGATAAATATGTTGTATAGCAATGGCACTGAGGAAGGACTACTTCAGTTTACACAGCCACAGTCTGAATGCAGCTACCAATAAAGACAGGTGCTTTTTTTCTTTCTTGTTTTGTTTATTAAATAGGTAACATCCACCCTTTAATTAGAAGTCTTTAAAACATCAAAAGAAAATGCAATTGCCCTCAATTTTGCATAGCCAAAAAGAGGTCTAAAGTCAAATCCAAACTTTTAACTCTAAGGATCCAAAGTGGTGTCATTTTGCTCTGCAGCCTTCCTATAATCTTCAGTCCTTCCTTGAAAAAAAAAAAAAACAACCAGTAAATACAGATACATTTTATAGCAGAGTACCCAACAGTCTAGTGATTTAGCATGAGAAAAAAACCTACAAGCCAGTGTGCTGTTATCAAGGAATGAAAAGTGTGGGGAAAGGGAGAGGCTTATAAGTGTTCTCCAGCAAATCTGGCAGAAAACCAAAGACCTGCTTTGTTCTCCATACGTACGCGTGTTCTTCCCCATCACAAAATGATGTGGCACCTGTCAGAGCCCCAAGTAGCTCTTCTTGCATCGTGGGCTCAGGTACCTCGTCTGGAACATGAGAGAAGTTGTTTGTGAGACACAGGGAAGAGGGACAACGCGCTTACACTCACCATCTGCATGACGTTCAGGAGGTGGGCACTGGCAAGGGCTGATTTTAGGAAGATGATTGCCCACCCTATTACTGAGAAAGGAGCCATGCTGATCCTTTACAGTGATGATCAGTATTTTGGGTGTATTGGAGGTGTAGATTCCCATGTCTCCAGTCCTCCCAGTCCCAGGGCCTTATCGTACCCAGGTGTGTCCCAGACAGCTCCCAAGCCCAGACTCAGCATGGGGATGCAGGTAGGTTTAAAATTGTGTAACATCATCATCCCATGTGTTTTCAGGATTGGGCTCTCCAGCAGGTGGTGCTTTACCAAACAGTCTAAGAAATACGGAGGTGTTCCCGTATTCCTTTTGTACTTCGCAAGCTGTAACAGTACTTTTTAAAGCCAGTGAGTCACTGCAAAAGTAATGCTTTTATAACATACAATAAACAATGTGAAAAAATTACTGCTCTTTCTGACTCTGCAAATCAAACAGCCACATTTTCTCAATGAGTATAATTTCCTATTCCATGCAAGTAAACTTATGTCCAGAAAATTTTTGCTTGTAGTAACATCAACATGCTGCGCAGGCAGTGCAATAATTCAGTTCCAATTTTATTGTAAAACCTCAGTATCTGAAAGCACATGTGAAAATGGTTTGCGGATTGTTGGAGGTGGGGAGTGATTGTGTGTGTAAACACTGTTTATTTACAAAAATAAAAAGTGCTATTCTACATATACAAATTTTTAGCTCACTGAAATACTACCTTGTTGGATACTCTCTGCAAAAATACTAGTTCTGAAGTTCCAGCCAATTTCAAGTATTCAAGTCTCAAGATACATGCTCAAAAAAACATTCCTGTTTATTTTATTTCTTTTTAAAAGAGCACAGCTTGGTAGATATCTTTAACAGAGTTAGCATTACTGTTTCCTATTAACAGCCTCAGTAGTTTTACTTCTGCAGTTTATTTCACTGGTTTTGGTATTTGCTCACTTCTGCACTGAATTATAAACAGTGATCAGTTCTGTGCTGTTTTCTGGTTGGTATATCTTTCCTTTTTGCATGGATTGCAAATAGATGAAATACTAACACCGGCAAAAGATCCAGCAAATGTCCCCAGACGCACCAAAATTAGTCACTCTTTTGAATATTTTTCTTTTAAAAATTGTTTTGTAAAATCTAAATCCTGAGTATAAATTATGTGTCATGGTTGAAATTAGCAGAAAATATTTTTCCTACCAACAGAAATCCAGTGAAATATGCTAAAGATTAAGTTTTATGTAAAAAGACTTTCCTGTTTCATTTGCCCATCTTATCCAATTTTTTTCAAATTTTTAGAAGTATGTAAATCCCATTTGGAAAATGCCCTGTGCTGTACTATGAATAGAGCTTCTAAAGGGATTAAAACCGAGCCTGCCTGACTGCTGCAAACAGAATTGCATGTATAAACCTTCTAAACCTTAATATTTGTACCTGTTTGGCAGCTGCAAACTAAGGACATGCTGATGTCATTCCAATTCAGGCAAAGAAATGTAAATCATAGGGCTTCACTTGCTGCTAACTGCTTTTATCAAAAAGACCCATGAGTACACATCTGCAGCATC